CAGGTCATTGACATAGACCTTTCAGGTGTCCAAGCAGCAGGCCAGAAAAGCCTTTTGGTCTAGTCAAGGTCCATAAAATGAACAAAAGCAGTCATAAGAAACAGAATCTAGCATCTAACTGTCATGTCCTTGAGAGTGAGCTTGTTTCATAAATTCCTCCATTAGCTCCTGGGCTTGCCCTGCAGCAGGCTTTCTATCTCGCCCATTAAAACCCATCGGGGGACAGGCCTGTAAACAATCTGGCCCCACAACTTTGATAATGGCCATGTCTGTGTCTGTATCCAACTGCGGTGGCTGTCTCAGCCCTCTCCCCTCTCTACTGTCGTCCCACTGTGGCTTATTACCAGCATGCAGTGATCTCGTTCTTGCTAGCAGCTAATGTCCTGCTGCTCACATTTATCCTGCTGTGAGTCCCCAAAACACGCAGACGAGCGATCTGCACGCACACAGGCACGTACACATGCTCTGGCTCTCTCCCAAGGTCTGCAGCCATTTAGCCCATCGAGTGCAATGATCTTTGCAGGAGGGCAGACGGAGGTTTGGGGGCATTCGGGGCAGAGAGCATAAAGGGAGAGAGGGGCTGTGGATGAAACGTTTAGTGATGGATGAGTCAGGGATTTCCCTCAAAGTGCTCATATTGTGGGCTTAAGTGAATTAAACACCCAAGAGGTTGTTTCAAGGGCTTGAACTCCATTAAGGTGTGTGTGGGTGTACAGTTTACAGTATTTACTGTACATTTCTTTTCGTGACAAGGCATGGTTCATTTAGGTTGTGAAATGTAATGTAGAGTGATTTACCAAAAGCCTGCTTTTACACTATTAAAAATGTTTGTAGTCAGTAAGATTTTTTGAGAGAGGGGCTGTGGATGAAACGTTTAGTGATGGATGAGTCAGGGATTTCCCTCAAAGTGCTCATATTGTGGGCTTAAGTGAATTAAACACCCAAGAGGTTGTTTCAAGGGGTTGAACTCCATTAAGGTGTGTGTGGGTGTACAGTTTACAGTATTTACTGTACATTTCTTTTCGTGACAAGGTATGGTTCATTTAGGTTGTGAAATGTAATGTAGAGTGATTTACCAAAAGCCTGCTTTTACACTATTAAAAATGTTTGTAGTCAGTAAGATTTTTAAAATGTTTTTCAAAGAAGCCTGTTATTCTCAAGAACGCTGCATTTATTTGATCAAAAATAGAGTAAGAACTGTAAGATTGTAAAATATTATTACAATTTAAAATAACTATTTTCTATTTGATTATATATTAAAACAATGTATTCCTGATTTGAAAGATTAATTTTCACTAGCCATTACTCAAGTCTTCAGTGTCACATGATCCTTCAGAAATCATTCTAATATGCTGGCTTTGTGCTAATTTATTATTATTATCAGTGTTGAAAAAAGATGTGCTGCTTAATATTTTAGTGGAAACTGGATTTTTTTTTTTTTTTTTTTCCAGGATTCTTTGATGAAAAAAAAACTGAATTTGTTTGAGATAGTAATTTTTGTCTTTTGTAAAAGTCACTTTTTATCAATTTAGTGCATCCTTTCTGAATACTTTTTTTTTTTTTTGCAATAAATAAAAGCAAAAGTAAAATTAGAAAATATATTTTAAAACATTTTGAGATTAATCATTGAGATGTGTGTTGAAGATTTCACTTGATGGTTACTTCACTTAGCGTTTTTGGAGTCATTAAATTGAAACTCTTGTTGAAAATGGTATAAAAGTTTTGTTGTTGTTGATTTTTAAACATATGAAACAAACATGGATGCATTTCTTGACACAATTTTCACACTACATGTATGAAAATTGACATGAAATGTTATTTGGATACTATATAATTTTAATTTAATTTGTTCTAATATATTTTGCAGAAAGAAAACACTGTAGAGTAATGCAAGACATGCAATTGTTTCTGAACAATTTCAATGGGCTTGAAAAAGTGTACACATTTAGCTATACTTATAAGGGCCAACTTATAAAAAATGTCCTCAAAAATGTAGTAAAACAAACAAAATAAAGGACATTTGAAGTGGCCCTCACTGTTTGAACTGCTCTTAAATCAGCCAAATCACGTTTTGCTTTAAATCTAATAATGTTTGTCTGAGGGTTACATTTGAGAGTATCTTAGTATGAACACCATTGCATCTGTGAGAGGTCCTCACTGACAGAACTTAAAAGGTCTCTGTGTGTATATCTAAACTTACTTAACCTTACTTTGAGGAGATATTTGCTGAAAAATGTCACCCAAAGTTAGCTAAATATGACAAAACCTCCTTTTGGGAACAGAAAAGTGGTTCATAAACTAAATAATAATTTTTTTTAACTGCAAAAAGTTTTCTTTTCGCAAATGGATACTGCATGAGTTTTCCATTTGGTGTTTATTTACCCCGAGTCAAATTCTGTCTCAAGTAAAATGCCTTCACAGTTTTCACTCCTCTCTTTCACTATCCTTAAATTATTCAGCACACAAAAACATCTCAAACATTTATAAGCCCATTCTTAGAGGGACGCATGAGAAGTGTGACCTCGCTGTTTGGCGTAAAGGACTGGCTCAAACCGAGTTGAGATAATGGATCAAAGCATAAACACACACCACAGTCTCTTCAGTCGGGATACTCACATACATGATCCAGGAATTAAACCGAAAAAGAGTCTTCTAGTAATAGCATTACAGAAATGACAGGGAATCAAGCCTGTAAAGAGCAGATTGGCTTAAAAAAAATAAAATGAAAAAAAAAAAACCCGGAGCTGTCAGGACGAATTCATTTTTCCTTATTCTTTTCTTCCCTTTCCGCATAAAAGTACGAAAAGAGAGAACTATCAGAAACAGGATAGAGATCCAGGAAGTGCTGCTCGCTGTAATAGGAATAATAAGGCAGAGAGTTGGTGAGATGGCAGTAAACTGAGTGTGTCATTACGCATTCATTGAGATTAGGTTATGTCATCTCTCGCTCTCTTATAAAAGAGCGAAATAAAGAGAAAGAAATGAGGATGGGAAGATGGCACTTACAGTGAATGAATACCATCTGATTGCAGTAACCGCGCTGCCGCTGTTGGACATTGAGGGCAAGCAGATTGGTTAATTGAAAGTGATCTGCTAATGAGGTAAATTGACTACATTACCCACGTCTGCCTGTCTCTCAGGGATGGCACAGTGAGGGCTGAATTTCTCATGCTGACTGTAATGGTCTCAATTATGTGGTTGCCTGAAACAGTGTGTCTCCGTGGCTGAAAGGTTAAGGACTCAGGCTGTTTCTCTTCTAATGAACACCCTCCCTGAACCGTCAAACAGCACCCCTCTACCCCACCGCCTCTATCCTCTGCTCTTTGACTTCTTCTCTTCTGCTCCTTTTGTAAAGTCATTTTGCAGCCTCTCTCTCACTTCATGTCATCTTCACTGGGGATGTACTGTGGAAAGTAGGAAAGAAGGAGGAATGGAACAAAGTTCAAATTAAAAAGGAGAGAAGGAGAGGAAAGAATGATGGGTGAATGGACAAATGTAGGAAGAGGTGAAAAAATGAATAAAGGATGGTTAGAATGAATGAATGGACCGGAACGGAAAAAAAGAATGATGGATGGATAGAAAGAAGGAGTGAATGCATTAATGAATGAACAAGACTGAAACAATAAATGAAGGACATATGTAAACTGACTGAGGGAATGATTGAATGAATGGAAAGACGTAAGGCAAAACAGATGAGGGACGAATGAAACGAAAAATAAGGTTGTTTCAACCAATGAATGAGTGAATGATAGAAGGAATAAGGGAGGGAAATAAAGAATGACTGAGAGAAGGAATGAAGAAATGAGTGAATGATGGAAAGAATGAATAAGGGTGTAAGTAAGAAGTGAACTACTGAATGAAGGATGGATCGAAAAAAGGAGTGAATTAAGGAATGAAAGAAAGACTGAAATAATGAATAATGGATGGATGGAAAAATGAATGTAACGTAAATAAAAGAATAAATAATGAAAAAAGAAAGAATAGGAGGAGGGAGGAATGAATGATGCAAGGAAGGAACAGATAAAAGAATGAATTAATGATGGATGGATGGAGAGAGTAGGATGAAATCAAGAAAGAAGGAGGGAAGAGGATTTAATGAATAATAGGGCTGAAGCAATGAATGTAGGCTAAGCGGGTGGATGGAGAAAAAGGAGTGAAAGAGTGAAAGAATTAATAGAACAAAGGAAGGAATGAATAAAGGATAACAGGAAAGAAAGGAGGGGAAATTAATGATTGAAAGAAGAACAGAAAGAACAGATGAATGAACAAAATGGAAAAATTAAGGTAGGATAAAAATATGGAAGATTGACTGAACTGAATATATGAATGAGCAAATGAATGTACACTAGGAAAAGAAAGAAAGAAAGAAAGAAAGAAAGAAAGAAAGAAAGAAAGAAAGAAAGAAAGAAAGAAAGAAAGAAAGAAAGAAAGAAAGAATGAATGAATGGTTGGATGGAAAGAAGAAAGGACTGAATGAATGCAGAAGGAGGAATGAGGAAAGGAGGAGGAATAAATTATGGACGGAAAGAACAGATAAAAGAATAAATTATGGAAGGAGGGATAAAATCAATAAAGAAGAAGGGAATAGGAATGAATGAACCGTAGGACTGAACCAATGAATAAATGATGGGTGGATGGAAAGAAAAAAGGAGTAAGTGAAACAACAAATAAATGAATGGAACGAAGGAAAGAGAGAAAAACAGAAGGAGGAATGATTGAAGGAAGAAAAGAACAGACAAATCAGAAATGGATTAATGAAGTAAGGATTAAAAAGAAGGAAATAAAAATAGGAACAGGTATAACAATTGTAGTATGGAAAGAATAAGGAGAGAAAAGAAGGAATTAACAAATCGGTTAATGAATCAATGACTGAACTAATGAAAAAAGAACAGACCGAATGAATCGAGGCATAAATGAAGAAAGGAAGGACTGAACCAGTCAAAGACTGATGAAATGAAGTCAGTAAGAACGTTCAGACATTTCTTGTGTGTGTGTCACAGGAAACAGAGATCCTGAACACGGCAGTGCTGAACGGGAAGACAGTGGCGGTGCCAGTGAAGGTGGTGACGGTGGGCACAGACGGGATGGTTACAGACGTGTCAGACGATGTGCAGTGCCAGTCCACTGATGAAGACGTGGTTAAGGTCAGTCCGCTGAGTGAATATTCCTGCCTCCTTCAACTGTAGTGATTCACTCAAATCAACAAACAAACCAAAGCATGTTGTGTCATGTTGACTTTTAATCGATATGATAGGATTCAAATAAAGCTCAAAATAAATTTCATTCAAATCGAATAAGGTTTTTCCAATGATTAATGGAGGTGATAATTATTCATCATGTCAGGATACTTATTAGAATTGTAAAAATGCTTCAAGAATCAATCTGAACTTGAACGGATCTGTTTGAAAGTTGTTTTGAAAGAAAGTGCATCTCAATGACAGTCCTCGGTCATCTGTCTCCACCTGTCTGCTCTCACTCTCACACTTGTTTAATAGAGATCCATTTCTCTATTTCTATACCGGCATGTTGCAACAAGCTGGCAAGAAGTCATGTGTCGTCCCTTGTGAAAAAGAAGTATACTTTAGCATATAGGTAAAAGGAGTACTTATTACAGAAATCATATACAATAAGTGTGAAATGAATGTAATGTTTTTGGACACTCAATTTACTTGCTCACCAATGGATCCTCTGCAGTGAATGGGTGCCGTCAGAATGAGAGTCTAAACAGCTGATAAAAACATCACAATAATCCACAAGTAATCAACACAACTCCAGGCCATCAATTAACTTCTTGTATATCAAAAAGTTGCATGTTTGTAAGAAACAAATCCATCATTAAGGCATGTTAAATTAAAACCATTGTCTTCTGATTCAGACAAGAGCATTTTTCACTGAAAAAAAAAACAATATTATGGATAGGGGACTCATATTTTAGCTGGAAGCAAAAACGTCTTGATGGATGCTTTTCACTTCACAATATAATAATTGATGGACTGGAGTTGTGTGGATTATTTGTGGATTATTGTGATGTTTTTATCAGCTGTTTGGACTCTTATTCTGACGGCACCTATTCACTACAAGTGCACATTCAATACAATTAAGCATACTTCTTATTCACCAGGGTTTCACTGACCGTTGTGTTTCTATAATTTTCTATAATTCTTGTCTTTTTGGGTTTCTTTCAAATGCCTCCAGCTGGCTCTCGGTCACGTATGAGCTCATATTCAATCATAGCGTATATAATTGTGATATGTTTGATTACGCATGAGCCGAAATCTGATGAAGCTTGTTTCGAAACAATACTGGATTGTACGATTTTTTTTTCTAGAGATGGTAATTTGTGCTTGACAGGCCTATTAAGTTGAGGATGTTTAGACATGAAATTCTCGAATTTTAAATGACCCAAAAGACTTATACGCAATCAGCTTCCACTGCGGGAGTGATTTAATGCCGACGACATTCGTAAGAATGTTTTTAATTGCTAATTTCAGTGTATTTCTTCACAGTTAAACACAGCTGTGCTTCAGCTAAAACTCTCTCTGAAAAGCATTAAAGGCTTTGGTCATATGCAAATGATCAAAACGTTGTATTTGTTTACATAGACTGCAGTAATCCAACGTTCGGCCTAACATTTCATTCATATTTATGAGTAAAAGTTTTAGCTTATCCCAGCTCATAATGTAGCTGAAGAGGTGAAAATCACTTCAGATATGCCGTGGAAATGGAATATGTGCAGTTATTACCTTAAGGAGCTATTACTACCTGATTTGATCCTTAAAATGACTTCCGTTGGTTTAATCTAATGTAGTCAGGCTGATTCACTCATTAAATAACCAGGTTATAAAACCAGGTAATTTAAATGTCACCACATGAAGCACATATTTAGCCTGAAGTAAAAGTGTGCCTCCAGTTTAAAACTGAACTTTGAACTGTTAACTTTACCAAAGACGGGGGAGTGTTTGTAAAACCGGTCATTATTTAGTGACGCTTGAGGTACAGAAATTACACACTGCAGCTTCAGAATATCTCCTTTATGTGGCCTGACAATGCAGGGCACTACCGTCTTTGAATACATTCAACCCTGTAAGTATGCGAAGGATCTGCAATAAAATCGGAAATTTATTGACCAAACCGTTGTGTAAAAACAGTATGTGTGTATTCAAGTGGGGTTGTGTATGTGTGTGTATTAGCAATCAATGATTCTTGGGCCATATACCATGATGCTGTAAAGAGTGGAGCACAGAGGAGTGTTATCTGGGAATCTTTCAATACAGCCAGTGAGTTGTTTGATGTAAAGCACTATTGGGAGCCAGTCAGGTAAAACCGATGACCGCATAAAAAGGTGAGTTTAGATTACAGGTTCTCCCGAAAGGAGTGATGCAGACAGCTGATGTGGAGCTACATTAGTAGTCCAGCTGTGTCCAGTGTAGCAGATAAAGTGTTAAATATAAATAGGAGGAAGTAAAAGTTGAAAGTACTTTTCTTGGATGTATTTCACCTTTGATTATAAATAACTCCCTCCTTCGCTGAGGACCCACACAGTTGTAGTTTAAGACCCAGTTAATTGTGCTGTCAGACCTGCTCAGTCAAACACATGTACGAGCCGCATCTTCATGGTCCGGCCCTCTCGTTCCTCTGATGGCTGCTTGAATTGGATGTGTCTGACAGGTAGTTAATTTTCCAGACAAAATAGTCTTGGCTGTAACATTGTGGTGTGAGATTCCCCAGTCTATGGCAGTGATTTATGATGATGCCCTGTGTGTTGTGTGTTTGTGTGCCTGTGTGTGTCTGTAACAATAGATTTAAGTTGTACAGCATTGGAATGGAGTGATGTAGGAATAGTTTAAATGTGCTCTATTAATCAAAGTAGTTACAGTAAACTTTCTAGAATTTACCTTCAGTTAACTTTTTATTAAAAGGCAAGTTGCAATAAAACTTATAGTCTTATATGTTCATCAACATTCTTAAAAATAAAGGTTCTTTGTTGATACTGATAGCTCCATGAAGAACCTTCACCATCCATAAAACCTCTCCATTGCATAAAAGGTACTTTTAGTGGAAAAAGGTCCTTTAGATTATTAAAATGATTCTTTATTGACCTGTTCACTTAAGGGATCGTTTCTTTTATGGCATTGCTGTGAAAACCCCTCTTTTGAAACCTTTATTTTTAAGAGTGAAGGCTGAATTTATTGGATCAAAAATACTGTTACTATACTATTATAATTTAAAATAACTGATTTCTAAGCCATTATTAATGACTTTTGAATTTTTTAGTACTTACTGAATAATGACATTATTCAGTAGTCTCTTCTGCTAGTGAACTGCTACTTTCCATGAATAGAGCACAAAACAGGCAAAAAAGTGGTAGTTTTTAACAAATGAGGAGTAAAATGAGGTACTTAACTTTCAGAAGGTATTGAATGCACAGGAGGTAAAACTAAATATTCTAATAAATTACATGTTTAACTCTGTTACCAAAATGTATAGAGTTTAAATCAATTCTTTGTCTGATTCTGTTGCATTAAACTAATTAAAATCTCTCTACAACTGACGAACGCCATCGAAACGGCTAAAAAAATTATTTATTTAAGGCTCCAAATATATTTCAGCTTGAGTGTCACAATTTCATGTAAAATGTCATCCATTTTTTTCTAACATGGGAATATTGTGGGATTTGTGCCTCTAATGCTCTAAAAAGTCAGTGTACTGTAAACATGGAAAGTGCCAACTAGCATTTTAACATAGATTGCCGAGATCTGGATCTTCTAATTACTCTTCAGTGAGCAGGAAATGATTGTGCAGTTCTCAAACCCTGACAGATTGAGACTTAATATTCCTTATGAGAGAAAAAAATGGGAACATAATTGTTTTTGACAAATAAAAAAGAGCTCAGGAGCTATATTAATATGAAAGGGTTATGCACAAAATTTGGGTTTGCAGCCATGTGTCAGTGTGTATGAGTATGTGTGTGCTTGCATGCTTTTATCTTTCTGCTGCTGGCCACACTTTGATGGTGTGTGTTGCTTCTGTAGTTTCCATCCCTGTCAGATCCTGGTTAAAGGAATCAAAGTCCGACTGAGCCAGTCATAGTGATTTGAGGCCCGCATCAGAAGGGAACACTGAGCCAAGTAATTTCGCCAACGTTTATGAAACGGATGGTTTTGGAATGTGATTTTCTTTGGAACGGCCTCATAACTCCTCGACAAGAGGATGAGGCCGCCCTTCTGTCTTCTCTGTGAGTGTGTGTCTTATGATGGGCTGTTGTATTTACTCATCATTATTAACCAAACTGCTGCCCATTTTTCCAGCAGCCATCTGGAAAAGAAAGGTGACTTGTGGGCCCTGGCTCAGCTGTTTGCTGCCAACCCATGCACACTGACACTAACACGCAAACATTTGTTTTTCTGTCATGACGGGGCAGACAGATATACAGTATTTAATTTTTTTTAATTTATTTATTGATAGATATGCATACTTTTATTGAGCAAGGACATATTCACAAAAGTGAAAGAACAGACATATATGTTTTAAAAGATTTCTATTTCGAATTAATGTTATTTTGAATTTTGTTTCCATCAAATAATCCTGAAACAAAATGAATAAAAAAACTTGTGCAGCAAATCAGCATTTAAGAATGATTTCTGAAGGATCATGTGACTGATGTAATGGCTGCTGAAAATGTTACTTTTCATCACAGGAATGAATTACATTTTAAAATATATTACAACAGGCAAGAATTATATTGAATCAAAATAATATTTTCAAATATTAAAATTTTTACTGTATTTTTGATCAAATAAATGCAGGCTTGGTGAGCAACTTATGGTCGTGTGGTGTAAATATTTCTATATTTTTAGATTTTCATAAAGACATTTAGGCTACATTTACACTGCAGCAAAATGTGGCCCTAATCTGATTAGTTTTTTTACTTTTTGAATCTTTTTTTTGCTCATATGTGATTTTTTTTCATGTCAGTGTGAACAGCACAAATCACATGGAATCTGATCTTTTTTATTCTTATTTGGGCCACTTCCATATGTGGTCCTAAATCTGATTCAGGCCAGATGTTTTGCAATGCGACTTCAATCTGAATAGTCATATCAGAATTCATGCGACTATTTTGTCACTCTAGATTGTCATTCGTCATAATTCTGCACTGATGGGAGTCACTCCAGAGATTTTACATACTGGTAGTCTTTGATCACCCTGTGAATATGACAGACGGTTGCAGAGGTGTCAGTGGAGATACAGTGAGGTGTTGAACTCATAGGTTTTACATTGACAGATTTACACAAGCTAAACTTACGGGGTCGCACCCATAAATATTTAAAAACGTTTCTCTCTTTCTCCTCGCCTTTGTACTGCTTATCACCTGTTCACATTTACAGTCTAAATTGACGTATCATAGACCTTTAAAAACACTATATTATAGATCAACCCCAAACTCTGAAAATGTTTGGCATTTTTAGAATAAAAATAAATTGTTACGGGGCTGATGAGATGTGAGACATGTGGATCCATGTGCAAGCTTTATTAAAGCAGAGGAGGTCAGAAACATAGGCAGGAGGCCGCCCTTCTGTCTTCTCTGTGAGTGTGTGTCTTATGATGGGCTGTTGTATTTACTCATCATTATTAACCAAACTGCTGCCCATTTTTCCAGCAGCCATCTGGAAAAGAAAGGTGACTTGTGGGCCCTGGCTCAGCTGTTTGCTGCCAACCCATGCACACTGACACTAACACGCAAACATTTGTTTTTCTGTCATGACGGGGCAGACAGATATACAGTATTTAATTTTTTTTAATTTATTTATTGATAGATATGCATACTTTTATTGAGCAAGGACATATTCACAAAAGTGAAAGAACAGACATATATGTTTTAAAAGATTTCTATTTCGAATTAATGTTATTTTGAATTTTGTTTCCATCAAATAATCCTGAAACAAAATGAATCAAAAAACTTGTGCAGCAAATCAGCATGTAAGAATGATTTCTGAAGGATCATGTGACTGATGTAATGGCTGCTGAAAATGTTACTTTTCATCACAGGAATGAATTACATTTTAAAATATATTACAACAGACAAGAATTATATTGAATCAAAATAATATTTTCAAATATTAAAATTTTTACTGTATTTTTGATCAAATAAATGCAGGCTTGGTGAGCAACTTATGGTCGTGTGGTGTAAATATTTCTATATTTTTAGATTTTCATAAAGACATTTAGGCTACATTTACACTGCAGCAAAATGTGGCCCTAATCTGATTAGTTTTTTTACTTTTTGAATCTTTTTTTTGCTCATATGTGATTTTTTTTCATGACAGTGTGAACAGCACAAATCACATGGAATCTGATCTTTTTTATTCTTATTTGGGCCACTTCCATATGTGGTCCTAAATCTGATTCAGGCCAGATGTTTTGCAATGCGACTTCAATCTGAATAGTCATATCAGAATTCATGCGACTATTTTGTCACTCTAGATTGTCATTCGTCATAATTCTGCACTGATGGGAGTCACTCCAGAGATTTTACATACTGGTAGTCTTTGATCACCCTGTGAATATGACAGACGGTTGCAGAGGTGTCAGTGGAGATACAGTGAGGTCATAGGTTTATAGGTTTTACATTGACAGATTTACACAAGCTAAACTTACGGGGTCGCACCCATAAATATTTAAAAACGTTTCTCCTCGCCTCCTCGCCTTTGTACTGCTTATCACCTGTTCACATTTACAGTCTAAATTGACGTATCATAGACCTTTAAAAACACTATATTATAGATCAACCCCAAACTCTGAAAATGTTTGGCATTTTTAGAATAAAAATAAATTGTTACGGGGCTGATGAGATGTGAGACATGTGGATCCATGTGCAAGCTTTATTAAAGCAGAGGAGGTCAGAAACATAGGCAGGGTCAAACAGTGGCAAACAGGTATATGGCGGGCAAGACACAAGAATAATCCTAGGGCTAGCGAAGGTCAACGAACGGCGAACAGAATCAAAAAGGGCAAAACTAAAGGGATAAATCCAGGAAAACAGGCAAAGATCAGAAACCGAGAAGCTAGGCTAGGAAGCTAACGAGGGCTCTGTAGAGTAGCTATCACTGCTGGCGATAAGCGCATACAATACTCGGCAGTTAGAAGGAGTGAGATGGAGTGTTAAATAGTGAGTGAGTGATATGAAACAGCTGTGTGCAATCAGTGCTGTGTACAATCAGTGCTGTGTGCAATCAGTGCAATGAATGATGGGATATGTAGTCCGGGGTGATATGCAACAGTGTGTAGTGCGAGAGTCAATGAAAATGGAAAGGGTGACCTCTGATGGCTAGCAGATGGAAGTTCATGGACCGGATACGTAACATAAATACCCATTTCATTTATGAATCATTTTAGTTGAACTGAGAACATTTTCAAGTGATAACAGATCTAGTAATACTCGGCAGTTAGAAGGAGTGAGATGGAGTGTTAAATAGTGAGTGAGTGATATGAAACAGCTGTGTGCAATCAGTGCTGTGTACAATCAGTGTTGTGTGCAATCAGTGCAATGAATGATGGGATATGTAGTCCGGGGTGATATGCAACAGTGTGTAGTGCGAGAGTCAATGAAAATGGAAAGGGTGACCTCTGATGGCTAGCAGATAGAAGTTCATGGACCGGATACGTAACATAAATACCCATTTCATTTATGAATCATTTTAGTTGAACTGAGAACATTTTCAAGTGATAACAGATCTAGTACACACACACACACACAGAGAGAGAGGGAGAGTTAAACATTCAGTTTTTACCTTAAGATAACAGGTGCTGTTTTCGTCTTGGGCATCTGTAGTACTCTGTTAAATGTGATAGAGCCAGTACTGCTTTTAGCTTTAGGTAGAAACCAATAGAGCAACTGAAAGAGATGAGAACAACTTTTCAGTGAACCACTCTGTCGAGAGATTGTGGGAGCCAAGATCAAATACACCCCAGAAATGTTAAGACGTGGGATACTTAATCGTGACCTAAATCTGTGTAGGTGAATGTTGTGGTCAGTTCTTTGTTTTAAATCATAACTCAAGAAAATACTTATACCAGAACACTAACTTTTGACCGAGAGTCAAGGCTGACTTTTCAAAATAAAATATTTTCCAATAACATCAGACTTCACTGCCAATCCATTTCAAATATACCTTGTCTTTTGCTCAGATGCATTGTATTGATTTTGGTAATTTGAAGTTGTGTCCTGGGAAGATGAATTCACTGTTCTTTTATGACTTCTCCATCACTGACATCCTTTTTTTCTGCTCTCAGGTATCAGACAGGTGTGATTACGTCTACGTGAATGGCAAGGAGATGAGAGGACGGGTCCAAATGCTGCTGAACTTCACATATGGTTACCTGAGGGCCCAGCTGGAGGTGAAGGTCTGGATTCCCAAACTGCCTCTGCACATCGAAGTTTCAGATACCGAACTCAGTCAGATCAAAGGCTGGAGGATTCCCGTAAACAGTAACACCCAGAGGTACAAAACTTTGTGTTGGATTCTGAGAATATTGAGTGATCAGTAGACCTGTGCTGAATCTGCATGCACAGTGAAAAGCAGATTTCCCCAGAATTCAAACACCTGTCACTCACAGAGTTCTGTACCTCTCAACTCACAGTCTGATTGTAGCATTTTGCTATCTGTTATGGCAAGGATTCCACCAGGGGGCTGTGAATGTACACCAGGTGGTCTCTGTGTGTGTGTGTGTGTGTGTGTGTGTGTGTGTGTGTGTAGAATTCACACCAAAGCGGTAAAAATGGTCCTTCCACACCAGGATGGAAGTCTGAAATCCTGTTCACCGTCAAATATTCCCAACTGTGAAATAAGCAACTTTGGCAATCCCATCAAGAACACGTCTCAGATGGTGTGTGTGTGTGTGGGTGTGTGTGTGGGTGTGTGTGTGTGTGTGTGTGTGTGTGTGTGTGGTCTTTAAAGGTTCATCCTTAACTGACCGGTCTTCAAATAGATCAGAATTAAGCAGTTATATTATCAAACTGAACAAATGCGTTAAAGGAATAGTTTACCCAAAATGTAAAATTCTGTCATGATTTTCTCATTTAAAATCCATAAGATTTCATTCATCTTCAAAACAAAAATGGAAGATATTTGTCATGACACCAGAGAGATTTCTGTCCCTCACTGAAAGTCCACTCCACCAAAAGTGTAATGCTTCAAAAAGTTAATAAAGTAATCCATATGAATCGAGTGGTTTAATCTAAGTGTTCCGAAGAGAAAGGATCGCTTTATATGATGAACAGATTTAATTTAGGTTTGTTTTCACATATGAAAAAATGGGAAATGGAAGCTCAACTGTACTTGCTTGAATTCTTGTTTATCACACAAGCACTTTTAAACTTCCATTTTTGTAGTGCCAAAAATTTGGCAGAATGGACTTTCAATTGAAGACAGAAATCTCTCAGTTTTCATTAAATATATTGGTAACACTTTACTTAAAGCCTTTATGTATAATGCATTATAAAGGGTTATTAAGGGGTATAATGCATTAAAAATATTCATAATGGGTGTTGTAATACATTATATCTTGTCATAAATAATTATAATAGAATATAAATTGCATAGTGTAAGAATAAATTGATACATCTTCAAAACAAAAATGGAAGATATTTGTCATGACACCAGAGAGATTTCTGTCCCTCACTGAAAGTCCACTCCACCAAAAGTGTAATGCTTCAAAAAGTTCATAAAGTAATCCATATGAATTGAGTGGTTTAATCTAAGTGTTCCGAAGAGAAAGGATCGCTTTATATGATGAACAGATTTAATTTAGGTTTGTTTTCACATATGAAAAAATGGGAAATGGAAGCTCAACTGTACTTGCTTGAATTCTTGTTCATCACACAAGCACTTTTAAACTTCCATTTTTGTAGTGCCAAAAATTTGGCAGAATGGACTTTCAATTGAATACAGAAATCTCTCAGTTTTCATTAAATATATTGGGAACACTTTACTTAAAACCTTTATGTATAATGCATTATAAAGGGTTATTAAGGGGTATAATGCATTAAAAATATTCATAATGGGTGTTGTAATACATTATATCTTGTCATAAATAATTATAACAGAATATAAATTGCATAGTGTAAGAATAAATTGATGAGTGTTGTAATGCATTAACTGTGGTTACAATTATTCATGAGATTGTGCAATGCATTATAAGGTTCATTACAAGGCATAATTAATGCATTAAAACTACTTTTATAATGCTTTAAGTAAAGTGTTATCTTCTTTGGAGTTTTGAAGATGAATGAATGCCTTGTGGATTTAGAACAACATGAGTGTGAGTAAAAATTGGCACAATTTTCGTTTTTGAGTAAACTATCCAAAAATGGAATCATATGTTTATCATTGTTACCATAAAAAAAATTATGGTAAAATATTAACTTTGACAGCCCTAAAAATGTATTTAAATAAGTAAGTAAATAAATTTTTTTAGCTAATTTATTCTATATTTTTGGTTGGGAAAGAGCAAAAAACTTTTATAACATGGGTGGGTCTCTGTGATCAGCTCATAAATATTGACAGCTCTACAAATGCAGAGGCTGAAAATCCTGCAGTTAGAAACTTAAAAGGGAAAAATTAAGAAAATTCTGCAATGATTGTTTTAAATATGTGAATATGGCACAGAAAAGGAGATGTCTATCCCTAGCGAGCACATGAAAACTTCTAAATATTCAGATATATGAAGACAAATCACAACAATGTTCAGCATAATCAAGCAGAGTATTTTTCGGGATTAAAAAAAAAAAACATTTAGAAAAAAAAAAGTTAAAACTTTAAAGTTAAAATGCACTGAAATCCTTATATCGATTTGTACTGTGAGTGGTGAAGTGAAGGAATGTGAGAAGCCCCACACAATCACAGAGAAACAGATCTTACAAGCAGCTCTGGAGTGTGAAACCATTAAACAAACTCTCTGTTGGGCAGTACAGTAATGCCGTGAATCCGTGATAGGACAATGGACGTGATACAAAGGATGTAATAGGCCCCCTCCTTGGCTTAGAATCAAATAATGTTATGATACATCTCGCATCTGGTTGGATTGTTGCACTTGGAGCTTTTTCTAGAAAGCTTTCTTATGGGGAAAATGAATATGAATTCCAGAGTGGACACTGTTGAGCTCCATTGAAAATTAATAACACTAAGTTTGCATTTATTTCATTAACAACCATCATATAATGCTTTGCTTGTAGATCAAAAGTTCATATTAAGCATTCATATTGATTTCATTGAACCTGTATGAGTTCACATTCATATCAGAGTATGAAAATATATTAATCATCAAAGCATTTCTAATTATAAATATGCATAAAAAGAAAATATAGCTTTTGGTGGTCCCTGGATTGGTTAAAAGTCTGTGAATCTGTAAAAGTAGGAAATCCTTGAGTTATGAAACAGCCACATTAAAGGGGGTTGATCATTTTAAACCTATTGCAAATGCTCCTGGCTGCAATTTCCCAGCATGCACCTTTAATATTTTGTTATCATTCAAACCTGAAGTATGGGGATACATTTCACCTCTCTCCTTATAACCTACACGGATCAACTTGGGCTTGTGAATTCAAAATAGAATAAAGTCAATATATACGATTTCCTGAAGGTATGGAGGCAGTTTCCTCTGTCTCCATTTCCATATGTCCCATGTGGCACAATGATTCACGACGTGTGTGAGAAGCTGAGAATACAGAATATAAAATATGAAGCTCTTCATGTCAGACTTTGTTTCATGTTTTGTGTATGTTTTGTTCCCCACATACTCCATGTCCTGGTTTTCTCCCGTACTTCTATGCCCATATTTGGTCCATCCTGTTCCTGTCCCCATTTAGTTCTATATGTTTCAGCTGTCTCCCGTTAATCCCCTTGTCTATTCCTTGATTAGTACCATGATTTAAGCCCTGTGTGTTTCCATGTCTAGCGTGCTGTCTTAAACGTCGATCCCCATTCCTACGTGTGTGTCCTGATTGTAAATAAAGACTATTCATGGTGAAATCTCCTACGTCTCCTTCGTTCCTCGCTCCGACACAGTAGGCAACACCATCAATTCTCTGTTCTGGCTCGGGGCCAACTACCATCCCCCCATAGACCTCACAGACACCAAGGGACTATGCTGGAGGGAAGGGATCTACCGGTGGTCTGGGGAGTGTCTGGGCCCGAGCCAGAACCAGCCCGCTGTCAAGCCCACCGGCAGCGGCATTCCCAAGCCCGCCGGCCATTCCTTTGTCAAGCCTGCCGGCCACGGCTCAGTCTAGCCCACCGGCTGCTCTGATGTCAAGTCCGCAGGCCAGGGCATTCTCAAGCCTGCCAGTGGTTCCTCAATCAAGCCTGCCGGCCGCGGCTCACTCAAGCTCACCGACCACGCCTTTCACCCCGAACCTAAAGGGGAATCAAAGGAGGAGAAGGCGGTCAGCTCCAGCCCCAGAGCTCGCTTCAGTGTCGGCTCCAGCCCCTGAATCCGGCCTAAAGAAGGCTCCTGTTCCTGAGTTTAGCCCACGGAGGGCTCCAGTCCCCGAGTTTAGCCCAGTGAGGGCTCCAGTCACCGAGTTTAGCCCAGAGAGGGCTCCAGTCCCTGTGTTTAGCACAGAAAGGGCTCCAGTTCCTATGTCCAGCCCAAGGAGGGCTCCAGTCCCCGAGTTTAGCCCAGTGAGGGCTCCAGTCACCGAGTTTAGCCCAGAGAGGGCTCCAGTCCCTGTGTTTAGCACAGAAAGGGCTCCAGTTCCTATGTCCAGCCCAAGGAGGGCTCCAGTCCCCAAGTCAAGCCCAGGGAGGGCCACAGTTCCCGAGTTAGGCCTACAGAGGGCCTCTAAAGACGATATTCTCCCCAAGGATTTTTTTTGTGGGGGTGGGGGGGTTAGTATGAGTCCATCCATAGTGGCCGGGCAGAGTGGCGAGGCCAAGGCCATGGAGGCCATCCAGCCATGGCCTTCTGAATTCCCTGCTCTGCCATGGATTCCTAGTCTGCCTGCTCCACCATGGCTTCCTAGTCTGCCTTATCCGCCATGGCTCCCCGAGCTCCTGGAGGCCTGCTGTCCCGAGTAGGCCTGTCCTGAGGGGCCTCCAGAGTGCCCACCCTGGAGTTATGTGTGTGTTTCTAACATTACAATTAAAAGAGGGTTTTGTGCATGTAACTCATAAACAACCCTTATATTAAACGTCAAGCACAATTGTATTACAAATAATTCCTACAAATGCTCATATGATACCTCATGCATGATCTAAATATCATTGAAACTTAAGAGTATGCTCTTTTAATTTGGAGCAGCAAGTAACTAGCTAGCAACACCATAACAACACCCAAGAAATGCAAATGCAGAGAAAGTTGTTTAATGAGGCCATCCAGCCATGGCCTTCTGAATTCCCTGCTCTGCCATGGATTCCTAGTCTGCCTGCTCCACCATGGCTTCCTAGTCTGCCTTATCCGCCATGGCTCCCCGAGCTCCTGGAGGCCTGCTGTCCCGAGTAGG